TCTGGGACTAACGTTCGGTGCTTTTGATATGCAATCTTTCGAATACATGTACTGGCACGCACCGCCGTTTCTGGAGTCAAATACGCCTTTGCTCTCCCTGAATCTCGCGATTCGACGAGCCAGACCGTGGCAGTTGGAAATGGGACCTTGACCCATCAGATTTGTCTGTTGCGGACGTGCCACCACGAAAGTTCCAGAATGCCTCTTGAAAAGCGTCGGAGAAGGAGACGCCTTGCAAGATGGAACGTTGTTAGTGGTGCTCCTCTCATGTTCATTGGTTCATTGGGTCGTTGTAAAGAAGGCCGCCAAAAAAATCCAGTGTGAAAGAACAGTTTTGTGGAGCCTCGTCACCATCAGGACGGTGGCCACGGACGCTAACCCAGCAAGAATTGGACTGAGACCGTGCGGACGGAGATCATGCGCACTGTAAGCCACCCACTCCGACAGGGCTACTTTCTCCGTAATACAAAACTCCGTAACGAACAGTTCACACTCCGAATATGAATAAACTGTGACATGTCTCCCCGACCGTCGGCGACAGCTTACTACTAGTGGAAGAGAGAAAAAGTGGATTGGAAGCAACGTCGATTTGTTCTGTTCACCTTGTTGTGCTCCGGATGACGTACACACGCTCTCTGCAGGCCATGTGGAAGAGCACAGAGCCACAATGTGATGCACGTGCCCAAGTCGTGAAGTTTAGCCTGCTCACTCTGTCTCTCTCTCTGTGTCAATCTACTTTGGTGGTTCGAGCAGCTTTCCATTCCGGGAGCGAAGCCAGTCAATATGTACTCGGCAGGAAAGAAGGCAAGATAACGGACGCCACTGCTAAAGATTATTTATGAAAATATGCCCGGATATCGGGTCAGAAATGCCTGGACGTGGTCCCGAATTGTCAGTGCCGGCGCCGGTGATGATGGGACGATGTGGAAACATAATAAAAAAGTAAAAAAGACGGGAAGGAAAAAATCATAGATTAAAACAACCAATGGCAATGGCGGCTCCCGATGCCACTGATCGGCTTGAAATGTTCCGTAAAGGCTAGAGCTAGATTACCGAGTGTAATTAATGTGCCGTGATATTAATGGGATTCAAACATAAAACAAGAACAAGAAATAGAAGAGCGGCAGGGAGAATTAACAAAGTTGGTGAAAAATAAGAAAAGAACATGAAATCTAAAGCTCCAATATTTAAAATAGAAATTCTAGAACAAAACGAGAGCCCAGGGGGAGGCTCAATCTAGAAAAAGATGCAACGAAAGGGGGCTGCATAAATGGGGATGTTTTGGGTAAAGGGCCAGTTGCTGCAAGGTACTGCGCCTGGGCCGGCGCCGTACAAATACTTCGTCCATCGTGATCGGTGCAGCTCGTTCCTTCCGTGCCGCATTGTGTCTCCGTCACCGGGCTTTCCCCCTTTGGACCATCTCGACGTGGATCTGTGGCGCAGATGCACCCACAGTCCAGCACATGTCTAGCTCATTCACTACCCCATCACCGCTTACATCTCAATCTCAAGAAGTACGAAGCAAATCGTGCAGATAGACGTCGACACGAAGGCGTGAGTGCAACCTTTCCCCCGTTGTTTCTCCAACTCCGTTGTAGTGCACTTCTTGGCAAGCGCGCCATTGGTTGGTATTAGACAGGCGCCATTGCCCGTTTTGGCAACTAAACCATGTCGTCTCCGAGCACTGTGGTTGGCTGGTCTGACGGGCGGCGCGACGGCAGCCTCTTTTGGGGGAGAAGGTGATAAAAGTGGGCCCTCACGTTTCCCGAGCCTCTTTCCCCTCCAAGGCAACGTTACAGCCTTAAAATATAAAATAACAAAAACCCGCCGACAGGGGTGTGGGGTATGTTGAGCATCATCAGCAACCAAACCACAGCGGCACCTTTTGTAAGAACCTGGCTATGTTTTGCTGTAACTACTGAGTCGAGTTGTCTTGGAAGACAGGGCATTTGGCGAGCTTTGCAACGACGAGCGAGGCAGGCATTGCCTGCACTTTATCTGACTTAGCGGCCGTACTCCCCGTACCTTCCCTCATTGTCGTCTTTACTTCGTAGCAGGTAAGCCGCAGTAACACTCGCGACTGCCCCCCAATGTGGACACGCGACTGCCTCTCTTGGCTTGGTGTCCTAGGGCACACTGAAGCTGCGGATCGACAGCTGCCCTTCACTCTTGTCCAAAGTTGCTTGTCACCATGATCTTCCTGATCCCCTGTCTCCAATTCCGATAGCTGAGTGTGATACGATTCGTACTCCCCGCCCTCACGCGTGGGCGCTCTCCACTCAAACTGGCTTGTTTCGTTTGGGCCGGTATTACGAAGCACAGCAATACGAATCTGGTTGGCCGCTGGCGGCCACAAGAATTCGACCGAAGCAAAACCTCTGGAGAGAACCGAGCAGCCGTCAAGTACCTCTCCACGAGATTGCGCCGTCTCACTACGACTTACATTGTGAACTGATTCTAAAGAAGCAGCATTGATCTGTCACCGCGGCCAGCGGCCAGTAGGCCCGTGGTACTTGTCAATGCACACGTTAGATCTTCGATACGACAATGAACAAACAAGAATGCACCGTCTTTTCGGAGCAGAGTAACGCACATACAAAACTAAGGCCCGGCAAACCTAAAAATAAAATCGGGTCCGGGCATTTGGGGGTAGAGCTTTCTTCTTGTTCGAGCTTGTGTCTGTCTCTGCCTGCTGAAGGAGTTCTTTTCCCACTTGTTTCGCCGCGGTCTCGTGTTGTCTCTTGTCTCTTGTTCCCTTCTCGCCCTTCTCGACACCGGACCTCCCTCGACCCTTTCCGTTGTTACACACGCCTCTCAACCTCGCCAGTACTCGGGTCTTCTCTGCACAGCGTGTCTCTTGTGCACCTTTCTCGTGTCGTTTCCTTCAACGCGTCCCTCACTTCAAAACCCTATTTGTTGGCATGGGCTTCTGGGAGGTGGCCTGCACCTGGTGCCTTAATCAGTCGTAGTCGTTTATCGGCGACGTCTCCTCTTTCGAGGACATATCTACGGCCCCAATCTGGGACGTACGTTTCCCTTTTCCAGCAGGACGTTGCCAAGCGTGGGATATGATCTTAGCTTGACCCTTTGTTTCCTCTATACGTTGTGTCTCTACCAAGACATCGCCCTCCGGCAACCTTATTTTGTCTTTGCGCCTTCTTTGCTTCTTCCTTCACCCCCTTCACCCCCTTCCCCCATTTCGCTTCTTTACACACCCCACCCTTTCCATCTCAAACTCCACAACAAACAACGCCATTGAGCCGCCGTACCTTTTCTGCATTGCACACTGGCAGCGGTGGCGATTCGTATGTGGTAGCACTTGTTGTTGCCTCTGGCCTGTCTGCCCATCACCATCTGCTGTGCTTCGTCCCGGATCTAGCCACCCCTGCCGTTGGACCTCTCATTCAGCCGCTTAACACGTTTCTGTTTCTGTCTTTCCCCAGCCTGTCTCCTGTCCACCGTTCTTTCCCTCCCCAATACACCAATACACAGCACTCTGTACCTGCCCCGGCTGCTTGTGTGCACCTGGCCCCCATCTTTCCTTCCTATTCTCGCTTCTTGACGAAAGGCTCTTTCCCTATCGAGCCTCAAACGCTCCTCGTTCCTGCCCTTTGCTCAAGGATCTGCTCTAGAGCTTTCCTAAATCTGTGAGCAACGAACACACTTTGTACCAAGTTCAGGCCAGAGCAGGAAGGAGCGAACTGCTCGTCGTGTGCACCAAAAGGGGGCTCCGCTTCTTCTGCTCCTTTCTTCCATCGGATCCCTAGGGCCCCTCCTTTTTTTCTTACCACGTCTTGGGTCTCGCCTTTGGATACGAATACAACAACAGAAACAACACCAAAAAAATCGACTAATACCACTTGAACAAACAAAGCCGTACCACTACCACCACCACCTTGCACCTTGCACCTCACCTCCCCACGCTCGTCTCTCGGCTGGGACCTGGCTGATACCACGTCGACCGTCCGCCGCCGCGCTCCCGCCGCCTTGTTACTTCAGAACCAAAGAAAACAAAGCCGCAGAGACAGCCCTTGCAGACGAGAGAAACGAGAGAACGCGAGAGACTCCAAAACGCCTCGCCGCCCACACAAAACCCACATTGTGCCTCAGCCCTTAAGCTGTTGCTTCTCATAGTAACCTTGTTCCCTTTCCCTCCTCTCTCTCTGTCTCTCTCCCCCCCCCCCCCCCCCCCTGGCCGTGCTTCCCATCCCGTTCCCGGGAGCAATACTACGTGCAAACACGGAAGACGAGAAAAATCAAGAGACTTGGCCCGGCCGATCAGCAACTTGCTCTCGTTGCCCGATGCTCTGGCCACCTTTTTCTCCCTCCTCCCTTTTTTTTCTCCGCTTGCTTTGTTCAGAAGGACCTCTCGTGGCATGCAGATTCGCCTCCCACTGGTTCTGAGACCGGTACCTCAACCTCCTAACCACATACCACGCCCTGACCACGTTCATAACGTTTCGCCAGCGGCCAGACGACTCGACGTTCCGGCGCCTTAACGTTCGTATTGGTTGCTTTGCGTGTTCAAACTCTCGGGCATCGTTACGACTGCAGTCCTCCTGGTGTCGGCCGTCACCTTCTTCGGTTTTTTCCTTCTTTTACTGGAGCCAGTCCGCCTGCCACTCTCCACGGCGCAGATTTAACCCCAGAAAGGAAGCCACAAACAACGTTCTCTTCGTGTTAGACGCCCTTCACGCAGCATCCTGCACTCTACATACTCTCTGCGTCTCACCACTGCCCCATTCCGTGCCATTTTGTTGTTATTTCTCCTTCCCGCTTCCTCTCATTTTCTCTCTCTCACACACACCCACTCATATTCCTCCCCCCTTTGGGGCTTAACCCATTCTTCTCTTCCACATTTGGCCATTGCGTCTCGATCTCATCGGGTTGCTCTTTTGTTTAAAGGTCATGCTCCCCCAGTCTCTTGTTGATTCCTCTTTTTCGTTTTCTCTTCCTCCTTCTCTTTTCCCTTTTCTCTCTTCTCCGCCTGCTAGTCTGTCATGCAGTCACTCGTTTCTGCCATGACGAGTCTACGGAGTGCCCTCATCGCCGCCCTCAAGTCCCTTTTGAAGGGCAGGTCCTTCATCCAGGCCATCCTTGCCTTTTGGGTGAACCCCAACGACGAGTCCAAGCCGGCTGGGAACGCACATAGTAACGCCGCAGCTGCGTCGTCATCACAAGCATCCAATGTACCACAACAAGAAAGCAACGAACACGCGCCACAAGAGGATGTTGCGCCATTATCAAAAAAGACAACCGCCACGGTCACCGTAACATCTTCTCACTCTTCGCCATCCTCATCGCCGGCTTCGCTGCCCACATCACCCGCTTCACAAGCTACCATCTCACCGCCCTCCTCACCGGATCAGCAACCCCGTCTCTCTCTTAACAAGAGCAAGGGTACGACCAGCACGAAGACATCAATAGAGCAATTTCTCCGAGATGCCGAGCGGACGCTGCTGCAGCCCGTCCAGGGCCGCAACCTCAAAGATTTTGCTACGGGCCTCCAGGCCCAGTTCCGTGATGGCCTTTTGAACAACGCCGCCTGCATGCTGCCGTCGTACAACCACCAGTTGCCCAATGGCCGTGAAAAGGGACGCTACCTGTCGCTCGATGTCGGTGGTTCGACGCTGCGTGTGGCGCTGATCGAGCTCCGGGGCAAGGCGTCGGAGGACGACGCGGTCAAGGGTGCCGAGACCATGGTCATCTTGAGCAAAGCATCCTTCAAGATCACGCCAGAACTGAAGAAGCTTGAGGGCATGGCCTTCTTTGACTGGATGGCTGTCCGTATTCTTGAGACCATCAACAAGGCCGAGACCAGCACTACCCGTGACAACAGCAATGCCGACTACCCGCTGCCTGTGGGCCTCGCCTGGAGTTTCCCCATCGAGCAAACGTCTCTTCGAGGTGGCTTTCTGCAGGGCATGGGCAAGGGCTTCCGCGCTGCCGACCCGCTGCTGGGCCAGGACCTCGGCGACATCATCCAGACTGCCTGTCTCGCCCGTGGCCTGCATGTCGAGCTGGCCACTATTGTCAACGATTCCACCGCCTGTCTCCTGTCCGAGGCATACGTCCATGCTGCCACCCGCTTTGGTCTTATTCTAGGCACGGGTGTCAACATCGCCGTCCACCTGCCCGTCCCGACTGTCGGTCGCTCCAAATTCGGGGCCCGTCCTGACGCATGGTTCGATGAGGCCAGTCATGTCATTATCAACACCGAGCTCGGGATGTTTGGCCACGGTATCCTGCCCGTCACCCGCTGGGACGCCCTGCTCAACGCCGATCACCCTAAACCCGAGTTCCAGCCCCTTGAGCACATGGTCTCGGGCTACTACCTGGGCGAGGTGACCCGCTTCGCCCTTCTCGAGGCTGTCAACACCGCAGGTCTGTTCGGTGGTGTCGCACCGCCGTCACTCCTGACTCCCTATGCCCTCGATACCGAGACTCTGTCCGTGATGGGAACGTACGTGCAAATATCCCGAACCCCTTGAAATGCTCCACCGGAAACGCTCGTTGATACTAATGTACAAATAGTGACAAATCTCCCACGTTGGAAATGGCCACAGCTGCTTTCCACCAGAAACACCCAACGGCCTCGGGCATGCCGCCCGCGCACTCCGACATCCTTGCCGTGTGCACACTCGCTTTTCTCATTGCCCAGCGGTCTGCTGCCATCGTTGGCGCCTCTGTGTCTGCCCTGTGGGCCCTCAAGGCCGAGACGGAGCAGGAGTACATCCATGCGCTGTCCACTGCGTCGCCTACCGCTGTCCGGGCACAGCACAGCAAGAATGCACAGGCCGAGCTCTCCATTATGCACGCCCGCACCGTTGTCGCCTTCAACGGCTCCGTCATCGAGCGCTACCCGCACTACCTGGAGCAGTGCCAGGCCGTGATCAACTCGCTGGCAGCTTCATCCGCAGGTTCCATTGACTTGGTCCCTGCTGAGGAGAGTTCATTGCTGGGTGCTGCCGTGTCGCTGGCTTGCCTGGGAGCATGAAAAGTAATACAGTGACTTTTGCCTTTCTCCCATTCTCTCTCTCTCGCTCTCTCTTGGAGTTGTCTTTCAGAGGCATTTTTATACCCTGCCTATAAAGTCTTTGTCATTCCATGTCACGCATCCTCATCCATCATCGTAAATAGAATCCGAACTCAACAAGGCGTCTTTCGGTGGCATTTGTTTTCTTTTCTTTTTTTTTTGCCTCTCTGCACATTCTGGACCAGTAGTACATATATACACACGTTCTGTTCCTTTGGCGGATTAGCCTAATTTTCTTATATTTCTTGGTTCTTTCCCACAGCATTGCGTTTTATGGTTTTCCGTGCGAGAAATGAGACTTGACCTATCAGAAAAGAACTCAAAAAGAACTTTTTGTCGGGTGCTGGCATACATTCAGCCATTTTGTACTTTGCATTTCTTTTGGACGTTTAACGGCCGTTTGTTTTCAACATGTCATAAAAGCAAAACAAAGCCAGAGCAGCGAATTATATCGATTGAATCAATACAATATTCATAAGTGGACATGAAAATACATAAATAGTGTTAAGGCAAGAAATTGAAACTGCTGTGTCAATCCGAAAAAAAAAAAAATAGGTCCTCATGATAAATCCCTCACCACTGCAAATAAAGTACATAAAGGTCGAGGTATATAGCGACGCTCCTCGGCCGTATCCAGAGAAAAAAATAATCCAAAGCAGTCTGTTTTTGTCTCCCAAAGTCCAAAATAAATTGTCACAAAAAAAATTCATGGTATCCCAAAATAGAAGAGAATGAAGAAAATCAAGATAAAATGTTACCCAGTCCTAGAGATCAAGAGACCAGTGGTCCCAAGAGGAATCACATACTCACAAAAACAGACAAAAAGAAAAAAAGAAAAGAAAAATATATTCTTGGATGTTATTCTGCTGCAAAGTACCGTTTCGTCTTACTGCGCACTTGCTGTGCTTTCACTTCGGGGGGCACGACCGTGTGGTGCACAACATGTGGCCGGTAGATGGCGTCGACAGGTGGCATCCTGCACGAGACATGTTAGCAGATTTTGTATTTCGCAGCGCTTTTTGAGTAGGGAGTTAGGCCGGACATACCAATCATCCAGACTGAGCGGGAAATATTCGTAGAGAAGCTCGCCGTTTTCAAACGAATCGCTCTGAGCCGCAGCCGCTGCAGCACCGGCTGTGTTGTTTCCGGTGGCAGCCGAGGATGCGGATGTGGATACCGCCGGAAGGGCGATTGTCGTGGTGGCTCTTCCACTGCCGGCGACCACGTTGGAGAAAGGCGGGCTGTTTGAAGGACGGTCGGCACCGGTCCGGTTAGACGGGCTGCGCTCATCTTCAGACAAGGAGAGGTTGAGGGGAACAGCGGCACTGTTGGATCGCTGTACCAGGCTGTGTTGTTGTTGCTGCTGCTGCTGCTGCTGCTGCTGCTGCTGCTGCTGTTGTTGATGTTGCTGCTGCTGCTGTTGGGCTTTTGTTGATCTTGACGGCGTCGATTCGCTGTTCCACGCAGGGACGGGTGGCCGTGTTTGGGTCGGGGAGAGGGCCATCTTCTTGGCGGGATGTGGGCTTTGCTGTTGCGCTTGGAGTTGGGCCTGAGCCTGAGCCTGTACTTGAGCGTATTGCTGCGACCAATCGTTCGGTTGCTGCGAGGACCTGTTAGTACGGTGCAAGGGGAACACGAAAGACCCGAAAGAAGACCTGAAAAGAACATACTGGCATGGTTCCAAGCAGGTTGTATCCCTGGAAGTTCTGCGCCATGTCGATGCCGTTACTGTTGCTGCGGTGCTGGCCCTGGTGCATTGCAGCTTCTAGCGTGTTGGTGGAGGATATTGAATGACGATCGAGCTGCTGCTGCTGTTGCACCTGTTGTTGCAACTGTTGTTGTTGCTGCTGCTGCTGCTGCTGCTGCTGCATTTGTTGCTTCTTATCAACCGCCGTGCTGGTGCCAGTCAGGGGCACGTCGCGGCGACTGACAAAATTGCGTGGACTGCGGCCGCGGACAATGACGGGTCCAGACTGGATCTCGGCAATCTTGACCCACTCACCCTCCTCGCTCTTGTCGCTGCCAGCGGTGCCGCTCGCATCAGCCTCGGCTTGGATGCGGCCGAGCAGGTTGATCTGCACGACGTAATGCTGCTGTTGGCCCTTGCGACGACCGTTATTGGCGGTAGCGTGCTTGAACTGTAAGCGCTTCCAGGACACAGGCACAGACACAAGACCGTTGTCCAGTTCCTGCCCGTTGGCTAGGTCGATGGGCACGTTTGGTGGCGAACCAGCGATTTTGGAGTCATCGCTTGGTGCGCTGCTGCCGTTGTTGGCGCCACTGTTGGCTGCCGTGCTCTTCCAGGGGATGCAGATAATCTCCGTCGTCTTGCCCTCGATGCTCTCGATTGCCGAAATGGACGCCGCAAGCTCGTGCACCGCAACGTGCTGGCCTTGGTCTGTGACGATATGCGTGACTTGTCGCGGGAGCGTGATCTGGCCTGAGCACCACCAGAGATTCCGGCGGTAGCAGGTGAGTTCGAGCGGGCGGCCAGTGTTTTCGGCCGAGTAGACATCCTCGGCCAAGAAAAACATGCCAAAGAGCTCGGCGGTCATGGCGGGCTCGGAAAACTGGCCGCCTTCGTCGACGACGGCCGCCTTGACAACCGGCGCGGTGAAGCTGAGCAGTTTGTTGTCGAGGCCCTCATCCTGCGGTGATGCGGACTGCAAGAAGCCGTCCCCATTGTGTGGTGCCAGCTCATAGGGCCGGCCGGTAGCCGCGACAGAGTAGGGGAACGGGTCTTCAAAAGTGGTGGAGAAGGTCTCGAAGTCGTACGAGGGCGTGAACGGTAATGGCAGGCCGTTGACGTTGTCGCTAGAGCATGTCAGAGGCAATGCGAAAGAAGGCGGGAGAGTAAGGACAGGGCACAGGACGCGCAAACCTACAGAAGAGCTTCGTCAAAGGCAATGTCCTGGTCAAAAGCGTCCATGTTCAGGCCGCCGCCGGGATTCGGATGGTTCACATTGACATTGACGCCGAGGCCGAGGGCACCAGAGTTGGAGCCAGCCGGTACGGAGAGTGGGGGCATGGAGTTGTAGCCGGCCATTGTCGCATGGTGGCCAACGCCAGGAGCTGTCTGTGAGAGGTCGCGTGTGTGCCAGGAGGAGCTTTCTCGTGATTCCGCAGGCGCAGTCGCAAGTCGGATGGAGAGAGTCCGGCGCGGCGCAGAGGCGGGAGAAAGAGTCAAAAATGGGGGTGGGATTGGGAGATTGCCAGAGGTCGTGGACGGGCCAGAAAACACGGCGGCCAATAGCCAAGAGAAGAAAAGCGAAGCCACTGGGCACCCAGAAGATGAGAACAGGCGGCAGGGAGACGGCAAGGGAAGGCAACCCAGTCCCTTTGGACGGTCTGGTTATCTTTTACCCGCGCGGCGTATCTGTCCAACGTCGGACTGCCTGTGGCAGGGCTCCAAGCCTCGTTCCGCTTCGTAGTGTCGCTGTCCCTGTTTGGAGACCGCCGGTGCAAGAGAGGCGTTTGCTTCGATGCGAGGCTCAGGAAACGCAACGATCTTGAGCTTTTGCCGTCTGATTGTGACGCTCCTGAAGAGAATGGCGGGCAAAAATGACGGGGGACGGCCTCGAGAGCTGTGAGCTGTGAGCTGTGAGCTGTGAGCCAAAAAGGAGGGGGCCTACAGGCTGCGTGAGAGTACGGGCTGGGAACAAATGCTTCGATGCTGGGGGGAAGATGTCCTCGAAGGATATTGCCGGAAGAAAGAAAAACGAGAGGTGAGGAGGAGAAGCGCAACAGAGCAAAGGAGGCGGCCGTTGGTGGCTGCTTGACGATGTGCTTCTCTGCGCCTTCCTCGTTTATCACAAAGGCGAATGGAGGGCAGGACCAAACGGAGAGAGAAAGAGGAAAGAGAAAGCGGAGACGAAGACGTGTGGTTGGCCAGGCTAAGTCCGGCGAGTGTGTGTGTGTGGCAGTTACAGAAAAAGGGCCAATGGGAAAGAACGAGGGCCAGAGCGAACCTTTACAGGGAAGCGCGAGAAATTGAATAGTGGAGGGGCAGTTGCACGCTGTGGTTCGGTGGCGGCGACTCCTGAATACCGGTCGAGATAAGGAAAGAGCGAGCCGATCGGGTGAGATTTAGGTTTTGGCGACAGCTGTATTAGGGGCAGGCGAGACACGGTGGAGCACAGAGGCCGTTTTTGCTGGAGAGAAAGAGCGAACACAAATACCAAAATACGCTAAGCAGGGGTTGAAATCTTTTCTGGGGAAAGTGGGCAGGAGCAGGCTGCGGGACGGACTGGTTACAGTGGACCTCTTCCGCGCCTGCCCCCAAAATGGCGCTTGGAAAGACATGGAAGGAACACACCAGTACGGCGTACGACATCCGGATCACACCAAAATCATTACCAGGACAGAAACAGTCGCGATGGTTTCCATTATCCTCACCGGTGGAGACCGCTGCACGTTAGTTACACCAATTGGCCGGGCAGATGGAAGGTCCTAGCAGAAGCAACGAATAAACGCTGGGGGAAGTAGGAGTCTGATGAGCGAAAAAGTTGTGGCTTGTGCTACACAAATTGCTGTGGCACAAATCAATGAAGCAAAAACAGTCCGAATTATGTACGCAAGACGTGTCATGAAAGGAATATCTAAATATAGAGATATCTTGACTGGTCAAACTAGTCTTACCATGGCTACGGACGATAAGCTGGGTGTTATGAAAAGAAGAGAAATGAAAAGAGAATGGAAAGAAAGTGGAAAGAAAGTGGAAAAGAAGGGGAAAGAAAAAAAGCAATCTAAACTATGGACATATACTTGATCCAAATCACAATATCCAACAAAAACCAGCGAAAACAGAACCGCAATAAATCATTGTCATCCATGAGAGCCAAAATGTCCAAAAGTAAATAAAGCAGGTCGTAGACGGCATCAAGCAGCTGCTTCCCATTATGTCGAACCAAGATCCGACCACTGTTTAATCGTTAGTAAGTTTTTCCACGAAGATATCAAGAAAGGGAGATGGGGTTTTCGAACCAGAAGATGTATTGACGACAGGGGCAAGAGGCTTGAAGCAGACAGAAAATGTAGAAGGACAAAAATAAAAGAAATAGACCCTCAGAAACAACCTAAAAAACACTCACATTCTCAATGGTGTTTGTCAGTTCGTCAAACGCCTGCAGAACCTCAAACTGCATCGCCAACAGTGGCTCGTACGCCTCGTCGGCCACCCAGCTCAGGACACTGCGCACCGCCCGGTGGTTCTTGTTCTGCCGCACGGCCATCATGGCGAGGCCCTGTAGGAGCAGCAGTGTTGAGGCCGAGCCAGCGCCCGCCACGACGACCGGAGCGACGATGCCACCCGTTGCCGTGTTCTCGTCAAAGGTGTTGCTATTCGGACCCGGCGCCAAACCGGCTGACAGGCTGTCTTCTGTGCTGAGACTGGCCGACCGGCCGTTGCCACCACCACTACCACCGCCGCCGCCGCCGCCGCCGCCGGCGCTGCCCCCGCCACGTGATGCTGGGCCGTGCAACGACCGTAACGGTTGCAAGGGAGGCAGGAAATTGGCGATTGTACTGCCCGGGCTGCACACAATAACGGTACCGAGAAGCGCATCCTCCGCGACGTCATCACCACTGTGTTCCTCGGCCGTGAAGTCGGCGCCGCCGTCTGCGCCGTTGCCCGTTTTCTTGCTGCCAGCCACCTTGGCACGGACGACGGCGCAGGTCTTGTTGTTGCCCTGCGACAGAGCGTACCGGTACAGCTCAACCACTTCCGGGCCAGCCAGCGCGGCAACGTGGCTCAGCACGCCCTCGGCAATCTCCGGGCCCTGGATGAGATCGAAACTGATGCCGGCGTTGGCGAGGTGGCGTGTCAGGCCTTCGGGGGGTGACCAGCGGTTCAGGTCCGGGATGACGAGGTTGGTGATGCGCCGGGGGAAAGCAACCTCCCAGCCACCACGGGCGAACCACGAGCGGATGCTCGCTGTGCTGGAGGCGGCCGAGCCAGAGCTGCCCGGCCCCGCCGCTGCGACTGCGTTGTTCGAAGCACCACCAGTACCACCGCCCGAGCCGCCGCCGCCGCTGGGTGTGTTGCCTGTGCTTCCGGCCGTGCTGCTGCCGCTGTCGTCGACCACGGGAATGCCGGGGAACACGCCCGGGAAACAGGAACCGAGCTGCAATTTTGCCACCCCCGGTTTTTGGGACAGGATGCGAAGGGCAGCGCGGTGCAGAGAACGGCCCACGGAGACATTTCGCTTGCCCGGGTCGACAAACAGGCCACCGACAATGCCGACGCCCGAGTTTTTGATAAAGTACGTAGCGCAGAAGCCGTACAGGGCTTGTGTGCTGCTGTTGCTGACGACAAGGTGCGACTCTTCGATGTTGGGGTTGTTGAGCTCAAAGGACGAGGCGGTCGCACTCCGTAGATATTGCAGGTGCGGCCCGCTGGCGCGGGCAATGGCCTGCAGCAGCTCGTCCAGCCCCCGGCCGTCCCGGTCGCGGTTGTACGTCTCGACGAGCCAATTGCGGCGCGACTTGAGCACCTTTTTGCTCTTGCGCAGCGTGCCCGGCAGCGTGCCGCTCGGACTGTACTCGTTGAAGAGGGCGCGCACGAGGGCGCTCATGGCCATCTCGGTAAAGTCAAAGGTGCAGATGTAGGTGCCAATGGTCTTGTCGATGGCAAAGTCGTATGGGGAGCTGACCGCGACGACAATCAAGTTCTTGTTCTGGCCACTGGTGCGCAGCATGGAGCACATCATGGAGACGTGCTTGGTGAAACCAGCCTGGTAGAGGTTGCGGTTGGCGTCGGCTGTCACAATAATGATTGTGGAGGCGCGGTGTATCAGGTTTTCGTGCACCGGCCGCACGCCGTTGGCTGTGTAGGACGTGTGAAGCAGCTTTCCGTGTCGAGCACGGGCGAGCGAGCGGCCAAGGCCACGGAAGACGCCCTCGCCACTCATAATGGCACCGCGGTCGCGATGCACCCACTTGTCGTGGAGGGACTGCGAGGACGCCGAAGACGAGATGAAATTCTTGTTCTCGAGCGTTTTTGTGGCGGACGAGGCGGGCAGCGGCTTGACAAGGGGGGTGAGCAGCAACAGCTCTTCGTGCTGGTGCATGGAGCGGGAGAGGGGAAGCAGGCGGTCGCGGTCACGCATGACGGTGATGGAGTCATCGTAGGCTTTGCGCGACAAGGCGAGATTGGACGGGTGAATCTTGGACAGGAGCGAAAGGCCCGGGGGGTTGAGGGCCTTTGCCCAGGACGTGCAGCTCTTCTTGAGGTTGAGCACGCGGCGGAGTGACGTGAAAATGCGGTCACGGGTGAGGATGCCGTTGGCATAGCCGAGTTTGAGGCCGGCAATGGCCTCGAGCTGGACGTCGTACGCCCGGCACAGCATGACAATGTCGCAGCCGGCCTCGACGGCCATGACGGTGCCGCCCTTGACACCAATTTCGTGGCTCAGTGCTTCCATCTCCAGGCACTCGGAAATGGCGACGCCGCGAAAGCCGAGCTCGTTGCGCAGCAAGTCGTCGACTACCTGGTCCGAGAGACAGGCGTGGCCGACGTTCATAGAGGGGTTGGCAATCCCGCAGCCGCCGACAAACATGGCGTCGAGTTGGCCGCTGGCAATGGCGTTGCGGAAGGGCACGAGGGCGCTGAGGCTCAGCTCCTCAAGAGTTTGTGTGATGATGGGAATGTCGAGGCTGGAGCCCAGGAAGTCGAGGTTGCCGTAGGAGGGGAAATGCTTGCCGCATGTGGCCAGGCCCATGTCCTTGTAGCCCTTCATGGCCGCGATGCCGTACTGCGAGACTTCCTGGGGGTCGTCGCTCGTGGCGCGGACACCAAGCGGCTGATAGCGGGCATTGGTAAGGACATCGAGGACGGGGCCGAGCATCATGTTGACGCCGCAGGCCGAGACCTCGGAGGCGGTGGCCTTGGCAATGGAGTAGGCGAGGTCGGCGCTACCAGCAGCGGCGACACCCATGGCGCTGGGGAACTGACAAATGTAGTCCTCGTCGAAGAGGCTGTTGACGCCGCCGTTCTCCTGGTCGATGGCAATGAGCAGTGGGTAGGGATGGCCGGCATTGCGTGCTATT